TCCTTTGTTCATTGCTGACCACAGTGCATAGATTTCTGCTAGAAATTCTGAATTTTGTTCTCACACTGTGTAATGTTGATGACAGTGTATGAACTTTGCAGCTGATATGTCTGTAGCTTGTTGATTTGTGTGTGTGTGGACCACAGGCTAACCCCATCACACATTCACAAGTTTGGAGATACTTTCTCTGAAGACCACTTAAACATCATCTGCTTTTGTAACTGGCTTCCTTAAAATCCAATATATTCTGAAGGATATGATCAATAAGCAGATGGCCCAAGCCCATACACATGCCAAGAAATGAGGCGTCTAATTAACAGTTAGACAAGGGTGTGAGGTGATTGCAGAAGGAAAATAGAGACCCTGCCTGGGCTGGGAAACCCCTGGATAGGGGAATCATGGCTACTGGTGTGACATGTTGTTGAGCGGTGGCTATTGGAAGAGACAACGCAGCTAAATCCTTCAGGCATACTCATTAGGACTTTACAAATTTCCCAATTATCTTTTGACCTGGTCTGAAGCAGGCATCTTTCCAGTGCCTTGAGAAAAGAACCAACAGGGAAAGAAAAAAGAATACAAAAGCATTTGGTGTTAATAGGAACCTGGTAGAAATGAAAAGTGATACATTCTTGGCAGCAAGCGGAGGCTACAGGAAGAACGAGCATCTATCATGGTGGTAAAGGAAGTTTTCCCTTCTTTGCAAAGTGGTGGGTGCTCCAAACAAAGGCCAGGAAGAGACAGTTTGTGGGAAGAGGCCAATACATTTCACACTGAGTCCCTAAGGCGCTTCGGTAAATCTGCCAACTCTGTGGGCGATATCAAGGGACTCAAGTACCAAGAATCTTCCTGTATATACATCTTTTGGCCCAAATAGGTACTGAGATGGGTTCTTGCCTCTGCACCTAGGAAAACTACCAAGGAACATTTATTGCATCAGAGAAGAGGACTAGTGTCCATGTGACAGCTTTCCTTGCCATGCAGGAAATATGTTATGAACCCACTACATGTCTGGTCCTCCTGAGTTTATTGTTTTGTGTTAAGTTTCAGAATGTCTAGACTTGCAGAAATAGAAGACAGTGCCTTGAGTTTGATGCAAGCTGGGATGACTGTGTTAATGTTTTTTGAAGTCAATGCAACTGAAAAGATTAAGACTGTAGCTTGATGGAGGTGATACATCTCTCAAAGCCACTGGAAGCCTTGACAACAAACACATTAAACAAAGCACCACACACACACACACACACACACACACACACACACACACACACACAGCAGGCAGGACAATTCCTTTTTTTCGATTTGTTTTCTTTCTTCCCTGAAGAGAAGAAAACCAGCATTCTTTATTTCTTTTCTGAGAGGAAAAAGACAGTTGGAAAAAAAGACTTAGGAATGTTCTCATTAAAATTTGTACTAATCATCAACTATTGGGCATAACATGATAGCCATTGTGTTTGTTAATTTTGTATCAACTAGATTGTGTAACTGAGTTGCTTCTCACGTACTTCAAGCTAATATGAATGTTTTTTTTAGATATGGCTATATTTTAAATAAGTAGACTTTGGGTGAAGTAGATGGCAGTCACTGTCAGTGTTCCTCAGTTAACTGAAGGCTGGAAGAGCACAAAAGATTAACATACACAAGGCAATAGCCCTCATATATACCAGTAACAAACATTTTGAGAAAGAAATCAGGAAAATAATCCTATTGGCAATTGTCTAAAAAAATACCTTAGGCTGGTGGTTCTCATCCTTCCTAAATCTGCACCCCTTTAATACAGTTCTCCATATGGTAACTTCAGTTATGAAGGCGTGAGAAAGATGATCCATGAGAGAGGTTGCCAGAGTTAGAAATAGCTTGCCATTGGTTTTTCAGTGTTCTCCTTTCCTTCCCTCATAGTCTCCATGACATGGAATCTTGGCAAGTCACTCACTGGGACACTTCCCAGCTTGAGCAAAAAGCCGGGAACAAAGTAAGCACAAAACCTGAATCCATGTGTGTCTAGTGACCTCTCCAGGCCAGAAGGACCCTGAGCATTCTCTAGCCCAGCCCAGCTCAGAGGTAAGGCTATGGGGAAAGTGAGGGGGCGTCTGAAGCTGTGGGCTAGCAGAAGCCATCACTTGGTTGATGCAGCATCCAACTCGTCATCTGCACATCTTTGTTCCTCCTGTCTCTGGAGAGGTCAGCACAGGTGTTTTGCTAGTTGAATTTTCTAGCGGGGACTTGAAAGGCTCACACAGTAAATTGAATGCTAAGGCTTCAGGACACTTCCCTTTTTAAAGTCTGCCTTTTTGCTCAGAGTCACCCTTCAGAAGACAGGTGCCAGAGAATCGCTTTATAGAAGTTCTCTCTTTGGGTTTAAATCGCATGGAAGAAAAGAGTGGTCCTCCAAATCCATTCTCAGCCTGAGGTAGTTACTAAACCTGATGGTAGTCTTAGCTGGGGAAATGAATTATGGAAGGGAGAAGTAGTTGATTAGTGATTCAGAGGATGCTTTAAGTCAGTTCAGATTTAGTCTATCTAACAGACTTGTCATCTCCTTAAGTAAATGAAGGATTTTTTCTACTACCTTTTTTTTTTTTTAAAAAAAGGCAAACTATTAAATTACAGCTTAGAGTGGGTCTGAAATTCACCCAAGATTCCATGAAGGGGAACCAGTGGGGATCAAAAAGTCAGTCATACTCCAAGACTCATAGTCTTTGGTTGGACCTGGTGACACAAGCTTGTGATTCTAGCATTTGAGAGGTGAAGGCAGGAAGATCAGGAGTTTAAGGTCATCCTCAGCTGTATGCAAACTTTAAGGCCCTTATGGGTTATACTAGACCCTGAAAAATATCTCAGTGAACAATAACAAATCTTTGATCTACACTGGTAATTTCAAAACTGGGTTTCTTGCACACTAGGATAATGTGGGCAATCTTTGGGGGCTGAGATGAGTTTGGGGCTGTGTATTAACATTCTAGGTCAACTGTCATAAAGCATTAGAAGCTAGGTGACTGCAAACAGCAGAAATTGGCTCTTTTAAATTCTGCTGTCTACAAGTTGAAAATGCAAGGTGGCAGCAGGTTAAGCTCCTTGAGAAGCCCATTTTGGAGCAGCCTTCCTTGACTCAAAAGTGCGGTTTCTCATGACTTCAAGTGTTCCTTGGCCGATGGCAGCATATCTCCAGCCTCTGCCTCCATCTTGACACAAGCCCCTTCCTTGTATATCCTTGTCTTCATAGCACCTTTTGCTCCCTGTGTGTTTCTTCTTACAAGGAAACCAGTCTTACTAAATTAAGGTGCCCTACTCAAGTATGAGGTCCAACTAATTACCTCTGTGAACACTGTGCTTCTGAAAGAGATCTCATTTACAGATGCCAAAGGCTCAGACTTCAACTGTGTGTGTTTTTTTGTTTGCTGTTTGTTTGTTTGTTTTTGATGGGAAACTCCAGACTTTAATAATAGATAAGAAAAGGGTTCTCCTTATCTTCACCCATACTTCAACTAGTGATATGTTGTTTTGCTTAGTTCAAATTTTAGGATGCAATAAATATCTTTGTGAGAAAGACTGCCTCTGCTACATAAGATATTGAACCCACTAATCTCTAGTTAGCCATACCCAACAATGAAAGACAGGCAGGAATGTTTGGCTTAGAAACCACAGGTATGCAAGACTTTTTAATGGTCACTTTTCCTTCTAATGTACCCTTAATGTATTCACCATCTTGGGGTATAACCAGAGAGCCACTGATCAAGGGTATTGGTTTGGAAACACCACTAGGAATATCTGAATATCATCACACAGCTTTTCTGTCCCATCCTATTCCTGTTGAGCCCCTTTGAGTTGCCATATGGACAATGTCTGTGTGGTCTGTTCTCTCTCAGGACTTCTACTTAAAGTATTGCACCCCTCGAGAGTTCCCATGTCCTTGGACCTGACAGCTCCTTTAATTAAAGGCAGTGGGTGGTAGATGACAGGTTTGTCACCGTGAGTGGTTCACTGAGGATCAGGGGACATGGATGGCCCTAGTTTCCCATATGTATCACCCAACCTGCACCTGCATATCCCATTGGGTAAAACCTAAAAGCGGTAGTACCTATTTTTACTGACCTGTCCTCTGTCTGCTTCAGGAAAGTCATATGCTTCAATTACAGGAGGCATGTGCTGACTTAACTAAACGTAGGGGTTCCACAGCTTTGAAGGCATCACTTCTGTTCTATCTTTGCTACACTACTGATGTGGGATTCCCTCTGTATGCTGTGAATATCATTGGTTAATAAAGGAACTGCTTTGGGCCTATAGCAGAGCTATAGGGAAACAGAGCTAGGCAGGGAAAACTAAACAGAATGCTGGGAGGAAGGAGGAGGAGTCAGGGAGAAGCCATGTAGCCCTGTAGGAGATAGATGTTAAAACTTAACAGGTAAGCCATAGCCATGTGGCAATACAGAGATTAATAGAAATGAGTTAAATTAATATGTAAGAGTTAGCCAATAAGATGATAGAGCTAAGAGGCCAAACAGTTATTTAATTAATACAGTTTCTGTGTGATGATTTTGGTTTCTGGGCAGCCGGGAAACAAACAAGTGGTCTCCTACAACACACTACAGAATGAATGGTGCTGCTGCTTTCCCAGGTCTTAATTCCAGACTTTCCAGGGAGGGCCAGTGTTTAGTGGGAGTGAAGCTCCATTACTCAATGTAATGAGCCAAAATAAATCGTTTATTTTCTTCTTTCAGCACTAATGCCTACCCATGCTCTGGCCACGATTGGCTTCTCTGCCTCACGATGGGTTGGGAAGGCATATGATGCTCACCCAGCCTTGTCAGCACAACCTTAAAAGGAATGTTCTGGCTTTGGGAATTTCCCCTAAATGATTACCAGGGGCAGAGTTTTTGCCAACCTAGTATGGATCAAATATTCCATATAGGGCTTTCAAAATCCCAGTTACAGAGAGCCCTACCCCGTACACATGCAAGGAAAGCATTTAAAAATGATAGCCAGGTCATAGGAAATTCTTTTACAAGGCCAATATTTATTTTGTTTTTATGTACAAAACTCAAATTTCAAATGAACATAAAACCAAATAAAAATTCCCCTCCCCAGCTGCACAAACTTGAATTGCCTATTATCTAAGAGGCACAGGTAACCATATAAGTGGTAGATGATCATATAATGTCAACTCATTTATATAGAAAAAACATGATGTTTGGCTATTTGAAGAATGGTAAATGGAGAAAGGGATATCATAAAAGCAACCCAGAGAATTTTTTCCATACTCAACCTTTTAAAATAATCTGGATATCAAATCTGAAATTGACAGTGACAACTCAGGGCCCTTCCCATCCTAGGATCCACTAGTGCTTCCAAATCATTTTGTGTTTCTAATTTCTCCTGAGGGCATGAACCACTGATGTGTGGGAAAAACACAACTAAGTTGTGGTACTCCCAAACTGGGTTCAGAGTGACATTTTGGGTTTTATTTCACTTTTCTATTTTTTCCATACGCAATTCTGGTAGCAGGGAAATTATTTTGAATCTAGCATTGCAACTGTGTATTAGAGCCAACCCATAATGTCCCTGTCGATTCATAACAAAATGTACACAACAAGAATAAGCCATAAAGTTCATAACCTCTCAAGTGCAAACCTTTTAACTAAGTTGAGTCTAACACTTTCATTCTGTTTTCTAAACTCAGTTATTCAAAGGATTTTTCAAGATTTCAGAGTATTTTTTTTTCTCCTCATGTCCCTCATGTCTGCCGACTGGTTTGTTTTACACCAATTATCATCTGGAGCCAATTCCTTTACCTGGGACCTGTACACACAACTTTCTTGGAAGCAGGCAACATTTTCATTAGAGTACTCAGAGACAGAAATCAAATTGCTCTTATCTATGAACAGCTCATGCACATTTTTAAAAATAACATGAGAAAAAGAATATGCTTTTAAAATTCTGAATCTGTGGTTTTGAAGCTGCTATCATTTTAGCATGAGCTCAGTGCTGACATTTTCAGATCAACCATAAATAATTTCTCCCAAGGGAAGCATTTCTATTGGAGATGAGGGGAAAAGTGACCTACACTGTAACACTGTGCTATGACTGTGGGTCTCTTTGGGAGGAGTAGTTATAACATACAAGAGTGCATAGGAATACACCTTAGCTTACACAGAAAGAATACATGAATGTTTGTGATATGTCTGCTACTGATGCAGTTTCTAATATTCACAACATTGCCATTATATACACATTTTTTTTCTTGTGTTCCTGTGATTCAAACACAGGGCTTTGCACATGTCGGGCAAGTGATCTTTCACTGACCTATATCCCCAGCCCCAAATTATCTATAATACATGACAGTAATCCACAGCCCACACTGCTTGGATAGACCATCACTACAAATGGACACAAATCGATTTAGAAGATCCCCTACCGAGGTGAAATTCAATTTGTAGCGATTACAGATTGCTTTTTGAATGATGAAGGAAAGTACGAGACAACAGTGTTCACCCTGTGATTTCCTTTGTCTTGGTCGCCGGCTAAATATCCAGGAGGTCATCTCCGCTCTCGTCACTCTCCACAGTCAGCTGTCTGGTCCACCACTTCTTAACCTCGGAGCCACAGGAAGCTGTGTCTGGCATGGGGTTCATCTTGCACACCACAGACTTCATGGCTGTCCTTCCTCCAAACCGTAGGTTAACCGAAGACACCGAATGGCTTATTGGTTTGGGAGCTGTGGAATTGAGAGGAGTCCCATGATCAACTGGTTGCTGTTTCAGCATGCTTTAACCATTCCTGGAAAAAATCTTGATACCCTGAGCAGTGGTGTGTTTGGCTCCCAGTTCCTGTCTCCAGATGTGAAGTACGAAACCTTTCCAGTGTTTGATTCTTTCCAATAAACTTATGTTCATAGTCAGCTAATAATAGCTCTTGGGGAAACATGCTGCTGGCTCCTTTTACTTTAAGAGAAAAAAAGTAGAAACTGCAAACACCCCCAACTGGTGTAAAATAGAAGTGTTAAAGTGTGTTCATTAGGGAAACAAAGAGTGATAGTGTAGTATTTCAAAAGGAGAGATGGGGTAGGGGACAGGTGTGGAAAGTGGAAGTGTCTTTGGCTTTCCGTTGCCTTGGCCTTGTGTCCCATCTGCAGAGACGAATTGACATATACATATCTCTGAACCTAATATGTGTCCACTGTAAATGAAGAGAATGCAAATGTGCTCACTGCAGTGCTGGGAGGCTGAAGGTGGGGTATTGAGATGACAAAGTGGACAGTGTGGTGCTTGGTGCCTCCTTAAAATGTCCTTTGCTTTTGTCTTTGCTCCCTTTGACTTTGTATGCCCCTAGTAGCTTGTCTTGGTGGTTATCTTTATTTTCCACATTGAGGCTACATAGACAAGCACTACTGTTGATAATCTGACTACATTCCTATGTCACCCACTTAAGTGAGTACCAAGGAGGACATTCTCCCGAGGACATCTCTCATATCTGCTAGTGTTGGACTAGCCGTGTGGACAATGCTCTTATCACTGTGTCTGGACTGCTGTAATGTTCTGTAGCCTCTCAACCTGCCTCCAGGTCCCTGACAGAGGCAAATAAACTCTTAGCTGTGTTGCCACACCAATCTTTCTAAAGCATAGGTTGCAAATGCCATCTCTTGCTCAGAAATCTTTAGTGTCTCTCTTCTGCCTCTAGTATGAACTGAAACTGCCCCATCTGTCAGTTAGGGATTTTCACATTGTGGCCCCTGCACCTACTCAGTCTTGCTTCTTGTCACTCCTATCTGTGCTTAAACAAGACAAAAGTTATGACCTCTCTGCTCGCTCATCAGGCCCTTCCTTACTGGTGGCTTTAAGAACCATGGCACACTTCTAGCTTCAGAATGGAAACTGTATTGCCATCTGCTTCATGAACAGACGTGTGGCAGAGGTTTCAGGTCACCCATCCTCACTTGGGTGGGGTTGAAGCTGAGCATGGTGAAAGGAGGGAATAAAGCCATATTTCACTGTAGGCCTAGATCTTGATAGGAGGAGACTGGGGTATGTGCAGAATTGCTACTCTCTTATTCCTGCATGTCCCTTCATGAGATCATCCTGGCTTTCTTGTACCTCACATTTCTTCAGGAGAAAACTCTTACTAAATCAGTAAAATATGGGAAATAATAGAATTGCAAGGATTGACTGACCCAGTAATGCCCTGGGAGTGGTGAGTGGCACACAGCGGTCAGTGGCACATGGAGGTTTGTCATCATTACTGCTGTCATTGACATAAAGATGCTCACGTCAGGGTGAGTGATCAGCTCAGCCATACACCGTGTGCTGGGATAAAGTAGGACCTGAGCTTTTTCTGAGAACCCTGTGGCATTTTCTGAAGATCATATCTACCCATTCCTTCTTAGATAAGTTTTGCCCATATTTGCGATGCCTTGACTGTACCCAGGAACCCCCTGGAAACCTCTTCCTCCTCTCTTTCTGGATCATGGCTGTAACATCTCATTTTGTTAGCAGGTGCCATCTTCTCAGTGACGGCAGCTGAAAATGAGGGCCGATATAGCTATGTTTAGAGAAGTTGCTTTGAGGAGAATGTTTCTGATGATGGTGTACATTTCATTGTTTCACCGTCTATGATAATCAAATACACATCCTGTTTGGGTCTGAAATGTCCCCAGAGGCCCTGGGTGTTGGAGGCTTGGCCTCAGTTTGTGCTATTGGGCAGTGGTAGAACTTTTAACAGGTGGCAACTAGTAGGTCTTGGGTCACTAGGTTATGCCCTTGAAGAAGAATGTAGGACATCAATCTTTTCCTCTTTTCTTTGTCCTGGTTGTGATAAGATGAGCAACTTCCTTGTCATACATTCCCACCATGCTTTGCAGCATTATTATAGGCCCAACATCAATAGATCATCTGACTGTGGGCTGAAACCACCAACAAAGTGAGCCAATAAACCTTTTTTCTTTTTAAGTGGATTTTCTCCCATGTATGTTATGGTAACAGCTAACTAGTAAGGCTAATTAGTAAGGCGAGCTAATTTGCATATAATAAAATCTAAGACCTGAAATTTAAAGAAAGAGTAAATGCTTCTTAAATGTCCCAAATGGGTAGAGAGATGAGTGATGTACCTACCTGAGGGCAGACGCCATTGTCCAAACTTCCTTTGGGGTTTCCCAGGATCTGCTGCATCCTGTCGACTGCCTCCTCTGTCTGATAGAGTAGGGCTCAAGAGTTGCTGCTGACTGCTTGTCTGCACGGGAGAAGAATGAGTCAGTTGTGGGTCTTTCTCTTTAAAAAAAAAAAGCCATGTACTTATTTGTTACAAATATCTGTAGCGCTTTTGGGGTATAGAATGGTAATTATCACATGTCTGTAGCATGCACTGATGAAATCAGGATAATTCCCATGTCTGGCTCCTCAAATGTTGATCATTTCTGTGTGTTTGCAACCTTGTGACTTTTCTAGTTATTTTGAAACATATCAGAGACTATTGAAGACTACATATGATAGTTGTCTTCACTGTCAACTTGATAGCCCTAGGGAAGCCCAAACTGAGGACTCCTGATGCTAAGGACTCCTTGGCACTTTACCCCCACCCCTAGCTCACCTGGCACCTTAGTCTTTCCTAATCATTGTCATCTTCTTTTTGGAGATTTACTTTATTTACGTGTGTGTGTGTGTGTGTGTGTGTGTATCTACAAAAGTGTATGTCACACATGTACAGATACCCACAGGGGCCAGAAGAGGGCATTGGATGCCCTGGGGCTAGAGCTCTGGGTGGTTGTGAGCTGTTGGATGTGGGTGCAGAGAACTGTCCTTGGTCCTCTGGAAGAGCAGTTGTCTCTCCAGCCTCCCACTGTCTTGATTTCCACATTACTTTAATCCTTTGAACACTCTCCCTGCATCCTTGACTTTTGGGATACCTTTTGAGAGCTCTGAAATCTTTACTTCCTCCCTATCATTGGTCTTGTCTCAAACTGATTTGGCTGCTCCTCATAAAGTATTGCCAACTGTGGATCTTTTTTTTTTTTTTATTAACCTCTTTTTCTGACTGCTCCCATAGAGTCTGTGGAGAAGGAAGGAGGCAAGGGATTCCTAGTTTCTTGTACAGAGCCGTGAAGCTCACACAAAACTGTACCAGGACATAACAGGGCCATTTGGAGTCTCTGCTGGACCATGGAGCCTTGTGCTTCAATTCGTCTGCCACCCTGTGTTGCTCTGCATCATGAGCTCAGCAAAACTGGAGGCACTGTACCGTGGGCTAGATGGACTCCATGTAATTAGCATCAGATCATTGCAGCCACGTAAAGGGATGGGGCCTCCTTGCCAACTGCTTCTCATAGCACAGAGCTCTCCCAGATGTTGATAATTCAGGTTTTTGTTGTTATTGTTTTGTTTTTGAATACACATGTAGAATAACTTTGAAAATGAAACTAGCTGAGTTTTAATAGACAGAAGCTACCCAAATACTTTTTCTTAATTCTATATGCTCCTCTGTTGCCCAAGTAAGAAAAAAATAAATCCCCAAGTGCATTTTATTATTGAAGAGGGTTGAAAGCTAAGTGCATGCATTTTGCTTGCTTTACTAAAAATTTGCGCAATTTGCTGAGAAGAAAATATTTATGGTAAGGCTTCATGTAAATCATAATCTTTTAAAGCACATGTTTCTATGTCAAAGTTTAGCTAATATGATAATCTTTTAGACAAAATAAGCAAGCAAACACTTGGATGTTAACTAAGGATGTTAACAGTTTTTAGTATACGTATCGTGTAGATTGGATCTTGAATGACCCATAAGTTTAAGGTTTGGTCTCCAGCCTAAGATACTAATAAGAGGGGAGCAGAGAAAAATGTGGAGCTCAATAAAAATCAACAAAAAAAGGAGGAAATAAAAGATACTAAAAGAAAGTGGTAAAATGTTTGGGAGGTGGAACTTAGTTGGGGGATGTTGGGTTATAATGGGGGTCAGGTGAGGGCTGTCCTTGAAGAAGATTTTGGAGTCTTATCCCCTTTCTATCTCTCTTGCTCCCTGGACACCACACTTTCCCACAAGCTTTCATCATGATGTACTACTTCACTGTAACACTGTACAGTGAGTCAACCACCCTTGGACTGAAATATTCCAAACTGAGAGCCAACTAAACCTTCCCTGCTTCTAAGTTGATTATCTCAGGTATTTTGTTTAATAACAGAAAGTTGACTAACACACCATATAAATCATAATTTTATCAATGAATCTCAACTGAATTCTAAGTGACAAAAATAAAAATTCCTGGATGTACATGTTCTTATTTAGTTTTGGTTCCTTTGCAAAAAAAAAAAAATCACCTGAAAAAAATAGTGTCATTTTGTTTGAAATGTTTGTGGCCAGGATCAACTCCCACAGAACATCCTTGGATGAAGGATACCGCATCTCTTACCTCAGGTTGCGTATTCTGGTCCTGGCTATTGGCGTTAGTGTCCTCACTTGGCTGGGTGGTCTCGATACTGGGAGGATTTAGAAAGCGGCTCAGCTCCTGCTGCTGGCTCTCCCTCAGGCTGTGGATGATGCTGCATGACTGCTGCTGTTTCTGCAGGAAGATGCTGTGCTTGCATAAGGAGGAAAGGTGCCCAGCTTCTTTGCCCCATTCCTACCAAGTCACTTTCTTCTTCCCTCTCTGAAGACCTGTGGGTTTGCTGGCCTCTTAGGAAATTCCAAATAGGAATCTTGAATCAGTTTTCAAGCTGTTAATTGACATAGAGTCTTGGAGATTAGAGGCATCGCCCACCTATTCCATTTACATAACAATTGGACTTGCTATGTTCCTCCATGCTAGTTTATATGTTATTTAAAATTCCTAATGTGGGTGTTTTAGTTTCCCTTCTTATTTAATTTTATCCTCATTTAACCAGTGTCAACCCCCTCCCACTCTCCTGAAAGTTGTAAGCACCAGAGAGTCTTTAGTAGATGAGGAGGAAACTCTTACTCCTGTCTTAGTTCTGGACTTTGTAGGGCAGCCTGGAAGGGCCAATCCAGCAGCAGCCTCTTTTCCCAGTCCAAGGCTTCCCTCACAGGGTCTGAGCAGGACAATTGTAATCAATGGAACCAGAAGAGCTATGACAGCTTTGTTGTGATTGGGTAGCAGTGGGCAGCTGGCCTTGCTCTAGGAAAATGTACTTGAGTGCTTATTTTCCTTGGGGAACTTTTTCCCTAACAGAAATGTATGTATGTTTCTGTAGTAGATGTTATTCCAAAGGGCAGGATCAAACAAATCTTACATAACATTAATTGCATTGCAGGATGTGTTTACTGATTGGCTTGCCTTTCATCTCTGTATGTGAAGCATAAGTCAAAAGCGCCCATAAACGTTAATTGCCCAATAGAAGCACTCACTGGAAATACAGTATATGCTAATGGAGTATATATTCATTAATATGTGAGAGTCTCGCACAAACTTACAGTTCAGGAGGCAGCAGGCACATCATTAAAATTCCATGAGAGGTAGTCTTTCGAGACTAAACAACATGATAAACCATATGTTGGAACTTTTTGCAGCCATTTAAAAGTAGTTTTGTAAATTCCATCTCAGTAGATATTTTTGGAATTTCATACGGTTGAGTTTAATAGATGGAGATCATAAATATTTTAATACCAATAAATTGCTTTTTAAACCTTCGTGTTATACAGCTTTGATTCAATTGAAAGGTTTGGAGGAGCCTGCTGAGGGGAATGAGGCTGAAACCGGAGTAGTGTTAAAGGTGTAGCAGCATCAGACACCCTGAGTGGATGAAGATGATGTGTTTTAAGGGGTATCATGCTAGATGCTGAAGGGTTGTGTTGCTGAAAGGTTGCAGGAGGACTTTCTTCTGTTTCGCTCCACTTTCTCTGAATGTGTGTGTCACAGTGTTGTCAACTGGACAGAATCCAGAATCACTTGAGAGATGGGCCTCTGGGCATGCTTATCAGGGAGTATCTTGACTATTGGTCTGGGAAGACTTATCATAACTGTGAGTGGGACCATTCTAAGAGCAACGGGTCCTGGACTTTATAAAATGTGGAAGGTGGACTGAACACTGGCACATATCCGCTCCCTCCATTTCCTGATTGTGGATGGGATGTGATTACGCAACACATGCCATCTGATTAAACTCCTGCCATCTCGACTCCCCCTCCATAATGAACTGTATTTTTGAGCTCTGAGCCAGGATCAGCCTTTCTCTTTTAAGTTCCTTTTGCCAGAGTATTTTATCACAGCAACAGGAAAGGAAAGCCAGCCCAGGTGTTTGTAGATAGTTCACTCACAGCCCTGATGCGTTTCAAGCACTTCTTCAGCCACATGCGAATGGTCTGCTTAGCCACCTCCTCCTCGATGGTGTACTCCAGCTGTTCCCTTGCCAGCAGCTCCTCCAGCTGCAGGCTCTTCCTGATGTCCACAGAACGGTAGGAGAGCATGCTAGAAGACAGGAACAGCACCACAGCTGGTCAGATTCACCTGGTGTTTAGAGCCTCAGGTGTTCAACATGCAGAGGACACATCTTTCCAGCACATCAACGTAGCATTTGATGCCACTCACAGCTGGGAGATGGGCTGGTTATGTCACCTCTGTGTCTCCATTGTCTTGTGTGAATGCTGAGGATAGTCTTGGCACCTACATTTTTGAATAAGTTAATTGGCAAGTTAATGTCTGTAAGATATTTAGAACAATGAATGTATCTGAGTGCCAATGCTGCAGAAGACCCATATTAGATGATTTCGACAGCTCTAGCTGTCAAGTACATACTCTGGAATGCTTTTTGCAGAAAGATTAGTCCATCCACTCTTTCCTTGTGATTAGCTGTAATTGGTGATGGTTAAAATCCTTGTCTGTGAGTTATGCATACCCCACTCCACTTCCTCTCTATTTTATTTATCTCTCTGCATCTTTCTTATTAATTTCATAAGATGCAAAGCTATAGCTGAATAATCACTCTTAGTTAGTCCTTTGCTCAACATGTCTAGACAGTGGTAAGTAAAACTATCATTTTTATGCAGAGGGGAGTCATATAATTCCTATCAGGGATTGACCATAGAGGAATATAGACCTATCGGGTAGAACTGTACACTTTTGTAGCTTCAGCACCCTGGAATCTCATACAACCCTTGTTGTGAACCTGAGGCCACCATTGGAGCTCAAGTCACAGTATAATACCTTCAGGAGTACAGGGTCACTGATTTTTCTCTTCTTTGCTAAATGTTCCCCCGTTGTGTAGGAAAATTCTGCATTGTGTTTCATAAAATGCTTCTAAGTTCTTGAGATTCATCAGAAATTTCATTATTGCTTAACTTCTGTGGAGAATGGAGGGCAAAGATCACCACCATTGACTTTGCTTGAGTTCCTTGTGATCAACTGCATCACAATGCTCCAGAGAGGTCGAATCTTAATTATTAATAACAACAGTAGGTCTGGGTACCTCTTGGCCAACCTAAAACACTGTGCCACCACTAGGAAAGATCAATGTTCTGAGAGGCATGTCATTCTTTCTCATATATAATTGTGCCCCATATTTTTTTGTGTTCCTTTGCTTATTCATTGATGAATGATAGTAAGAGGCAAAATTGGTAACTTTAGGAAGCTTTTCCCAGGCCTTTCTCTTGCTAGTCTGACCTTCTTTTAGCCATAAGTGGAGTTTGATCTACCTGAATGACTCCCAAATTTGTGACAAAACATAACATTTAACATGCCAGGTACACGCAATATGAGTAAAATAGCTACAGTCAGTCAAATGTTCTAACCAGTTTCTGTGTCACAGATACCTCTGGCAGGGAAGTTTGTGAAGGGTTTCTTACAATGATATTTCACAGGCTATTTTATAAAGGAAATCAGCTATATTAAAATAGACCTTTCAATTAGTTTTCTTGATATGGGTCATAAATTCTGTATTGTCTCATTAAATAATATGAAGTTTAGGTCAAATGACACTGTAATTTGAAAGGACTTGTGTAGCATAAATGATATTTTAAGATTTCTATCAAGAGCTTCAAGTTGTGACCTTATATGTAGGTCACTGCAGACCTACTTAAGATGTGGCCAGACTAGAGCATCTGGGGGATTTAATCCAAGACAACTGTTATTTTTACAAAAGGAAGAACATACACACACACACACACACACACACACACACACACACACACACTGTGGGACAATGGTCTGTACCCTGTCACTTGTATTTTAAATAAACTCTGATTGACCAGTAGCCAGACAGAAAGTATAGGCAGGACGACTAGGCAGGAATGGAGGCAGTGCAATGAGAATTCTGGGAATAAGGAAGTTTCAGTCTGCAGTCACCACCCAGAGAGAGAGGAAGCCAGATATAGAGCAAGCAAGATGTGACTGCATCATGCAAAAAGGTACCAAGCCACGTGGCTAACACAGACAAGAATTATGGGCTAATATAAGTTATAAGAGTTAATAAGAAGCCTGAGCTACTACGTCAATCAGTTTATAATTAATGTAGACCTCTGTGGGATTTCTTTGGGACTTAATGACTGCAAAAACTGGGCAGGACAGAAACCTCAGCTAACACACTTAACACAAACACACACGCTGAGAATGGCCTGTGTGAAGGTGAAGGCAGAGATCACAGTAAAGATCACATTGCCAGCTAAACTTAACAGATGGTTGAAACCGAGTCTTCCTCATAACCTCACAAAGAACCAACCCTGCCCATGACTTCAGGTTTCCTGCTTCCGGAACCATAAGCAATAAACTTCTCTTGTTGGAACTTGAGCACAGCAGTCTAGCAAGATAACGCAGATGCTCCTAAGAGAGACTGAAAGACAGAGCTGAGTTTGAGCCTTTATCCTATCTGGTGCAGAAAATGTGAAAATGTAGTGTTTTAAGCAACACAGCAATTATGAAAGAGCAGGTGTGGCAGACTTTTAGCAGACTCACCTGAGTGAAAAGATATCAATTTCAGCTCGTCTTTGTCAAGGAAGCAAGTGACCCTGAGAAAGTCACTTAATTCTTGCAGGACCACACCCTCATCCCAAAATAAAGAGACAGAACCACTTCCTCCAAGTCTTCTCTTCCTTTCCTCCTAGGAGGGCAGGCCACTGCTTCCTATCCTTGTTTGAGGCATTTTGATCAAACATGATCATAATGAGGCAATGAGAAAGGTTACTTCATTCCTAGAAAGTGTGCCCTTGCCTTATTACCATATTATGGCAACTCATATTTCAAATTTCCTTGGCAACTGAATTCGTGGGCTTTGTGTGTTACAGCTTTCATTTCTGACCTCAGCAAATTCTGTGACACTGGTCTTTAAAACCATCTTCATACCTCAAGACATCGTGGAAGGTGACATCACCACCATTGTGTAGCCTCTCCATCTCATAACACATGTGCTTAAACAAGAGCTTGTCTTTGTCAAGGTCCACTTCCAGCCTTCCACGTAGCAGCCGTAACAGGAACTTCACTCGGAAGGTGGGGATTACACCCTGGGTGAGATAGCACAAGGGCAAGCAAAGACAGTCATCAGGAGGCTCTAGGAATTCACTGGGAGGGGAAAATCTTTTTACAGGGAAACTCGGACAACAAAATGAATCTATGAGACAAGACTGGTGGCCTATGAGACAAGACTGGTGGCTCAGGCTTATTACCCAAATATCAAGTAGGCTGAGGCAGGGGGATCACCAGCATCAATAGCCCCAGACAGGAAGAAAGTCACAGGCTTCTTTGAAAGCTGCATAGAATGATGTGTGATAATCATGTAATGTGAAGTATGAGCAGTAGCCTTCTGCTCCTCTCGTCTAATGGGTTTCCTGACTTCAGAGCCAGGGAGGGTGAGGAATGCCCATGCAGCTTTCCCTAGAGTCAACCCTTAGTTTTTACGCTCAGCAGTCTATCCACCTTTGCACAGGCAACCTTGATGAATATCTAAGAGTAGGGAGTACATGGTACACAGCCCACCTTACTTAATTTGGGTCTCAGGGACTTCTTAACATTTGTTATTTTGTTTCCATTGAAAGGCTTCTTTGTAGGTCTTCACAATGATTAGAACAACTTACAGATAAGATGAGGCTTCAGCTTTGCTCTCATCTGGGATAAATCTGGACACTGGGACTCTAAAAGTTATCACTCTACGCCATATAACACAGTCTAATCCACCAACTCTGACTATATCTTTGAATGAGCCTAGTGACCTAAGGCTTCTTCCTAGGATGTCAGTGTGAATGGGGGTGTATTCTTTCCTACACATATCAAATGAGATCAAGTTCCTATGGGTAATAGTTACAGAGAAAAATACAGATCTAGATGAGACAAAAGAACCAGACAAGACTTGTGTCCTCCACAAGTTCACTGGAGCCCATTTGGGGGACGGGAGGACTGGTGTAGGCAGAAAGTAAAGTGGGGAGAAGACGCCAGATCCTGCCTTGCATATCCTGGGTCATGACCACACCTTGTCTTCCTGACCCTTACTTCTGCCAGCTATGCTAGTTCCTGGCCTTTGCACTCTTAACTCTTCCTGAGCTACATTTTGGTCTTCCCAGGATGGGTCTTTCCGTGGTTGAACTTTCCTCATTTCTTGATGTGAGCTCAACCATCACCTTTTCACTCAAACCTCCATGACCTGCTCAGCTAAATCCACATTCTGCCTTTTTAAAAGTAGTCTTAACTTCTGGAACTTCATATGAGTCGAATCTCCTACAAAAATGTTAGGGTCAGAAGTGTTTCACATTTTGGGTTTTACAGACTTTGGAATATTTGCATTTATAGAATGAATGATTTGGGGATAAGATCCAAGTCTAAGCATAAAATTCATTCATATATTTTTTGTTTTTAATCTTTCAAAACAAGTTCTTGGGTGTCCCAGACTGACCTTAAACTTAAGGCTGTCAGACTCCTGATTTTCTTGCTTCTGTGTCCCATATACTAGGACTACAGGTGCAGGTACCATTAATTTATGTCTCACATGTGCCTTATTCACATATCCTGGAAGTTACTTTATAAAATATCTTTAGTGTGCCTGGGTTTTGACTGTGAGGTGTCATGTGAACTCAGGTGTGAATTCTTCCATTAGTGGTGTTGTGTTGGTACTAAAAAGAATTTCAAGTCTGAAACATTGTTTTGGACTAGGGATACTAATCTGTGCCACAAGTACCATTTCACCTTGATGAATTGTTCCTCCTTTAGGACATAAGCTTTGTGGGCACAGGAACCTTGGCATTTGGGAATTGTTTTACCTCAGTGCCCAGACTTGTGCTTGGCTTTGAGAAGGTAAAGATAAAAGAGGTCAAAGCGGAGAGGAAGAAGAAGAGAAGAACATGCAGGATACTGAGGAAGAGAAAGGGAAAGAGGGGAAGAAAGAAGGTAGGTGATAACAAGGAAGTTGTCTCTGCCTTGGCTAACTCTTGGAAACACTGGTTAAGATATTTATATACTAACTTAGAAATAGTTCAAAATAATCAGGTCTCCATGTAACTAATTAACTTTTTGGTGGTGGTGTGGTTTGGAGCCAGGACTTCTTGCATGTTCAGCAAACACTCAACCCCTGAGCTATCCTCAGACATCACTTGTAACTCCTATGTGTGTTTCATCTAGATGGTTGCTTAAGGTTGAGGGGATGGTAAGTACGTAGTAGGTTTCCCCTCTTGGACCTACAGTTTCCTCCCTTCTGTTCAAGCCCAGGACAGACATCCTTTAGTTTTCTTTCTTTGTTGACCTTGAAGTCTAAAGACTAGGCTGTTCACAGTGGGAAAGAACACGAGGAGAGGCCGTTCTGCTCCCTGTCCTCTTGTGCCCGTCTGACTCAATGACAAGTTTCCGCAATGCAGCAGTGACAGTTCCAGGTTTAGTCTATCTCAGTCCTTAACCTGAAGACCCTTAAAATATGTCATTTGTTCCCTTTTAGAGGGAGCATCCCATTCCCCCACCCCTAGGTCGAGGAAGATCTTCAACACCTGATTCTCCTGCTTCTAGTTCCCAAGTGCTGTGAGCACAGTCATGAACCACCGTACCCAGTTTTATTTGGTGTTGGGGATCAAAACCATGATCCAACGTGTGTTTGGTGAGTAAGTGAGCCACATCCATAGTTCCTACCTCTCTCTTATCATCCACCATGTTCCATATGATTTGAAAATGGCGAAGGTCATTGTAACTTAAAAGCTGATCCTCTTCAGTGGAATAAAATAAGGAGAAATTCTCTACAATTATGGCTAAGGAAAAAAATTCAGATGTTAGACAAGTATACTAATGTGTCACTTTTTAGAAAGAGTAAAACATCTACAATAAATAATAGATGTTATCACTCACATTATAAAGCCAATTTTTCAAAGTGATTTCAGTACAGTTTTCAGGTTGGCAAGTCTCTCACTTGGACTAAGCTATTTTCTCAGTACTTGCCTTTCCAAAACATGAGGGTCATGGGCTCAAAAGCACTCTGTGTGGACATCCATGCCAGCTGGCTCCTACTCTTACTTGAGAGTTCCGGGGCATTTTAAAGGGTCATATTGTGTCTGGGTGGCTCCACAGCTGGGTGGACAAAATATATCTTTTAAAACAAAAAAATGTGATATTTTGAGGCTATGAAAGTAGCCCTCCCTGATTTGTGTTCAGCCCAATCCATGGGAAAAGCTCTTTGGTAATTAATGAGCATAATAAATAGGACAACTCTCGAATCTGCAATCAACTGCCATTTCTATGCTTTTCAAAGGTCTTTTCAGCTCCTGGGTTGAGAGGCAACAATTTATAATTAGTGCCATGAAACACCCGCCCCAAGCAATCCAGGATAATTACTCGAAAATTGTACATAATTATCTAAGTACCTGAGTTTGAAGAGATGAAAAAATAATTCCACGAACATCTCTTACCTACAAGCAGATTCAGCATGATGTAGGCGATGATGACATAGAATGAGCAGAAGTACATCAGTGCCCCTGCGTAATTGCCACAGTCTGTGGCCCAGTATGTAAATTCATCTGGAGTACAAAACGGAGGCTGAACCTGTGAGGCAGTGGAGGACATGGAGGAGAAAATAAGAGAATGGGAGGGCACAGATTTCTTCTCAGTGCAGTGCTCAATGAATGTATTCTTGACAGTATGGGATGTAGTTAATTTAAGGCAATCATGAAAAGCCACACGTGTTGGACACACACACCATTTGCAACAAGAGTATTTCATTTGTGCTGTGCTCTTAGCCTTGTAGATTCCTTAGTTCAGTGCCACCAGAAGTAAAATGCAAATGAAGGTTTCCCATGAGAGAATCTTTCCCATTCTCACCAATAGTTACTAGGGCCAAACTTTGGAAAGCCAAATAAAGAGGAACTTAATTTATTTTCTGACTTAAGCAATAGATTAATCTGTCCATAAGTAGAATACACATACCAAATTCACATTCAAGTTGTGTAAGGACTAATTACCCATCCTGAGGCACCAAAATGGGATGTTATAGAAATGTATGAAGTTCAATAATTAAAAGCCATGCATTCTGTTGAACACACAAACCCTTCTGTGATACTGTCCTGGTTTCTCTTAACCAGAATGACTAGTTCTTTCCTTTGTGCTCCCACATACTCTTTTGGGACTCTTATGTAGGATTTATTTAATTCTGCCTTGTGTTGGACCTGATTGATAAATTTGGTTTCTGTTTTTTCATGTTTAAAATTCCCTATGCCCCACTATGTGCTATATTTGCACTAAGCATTAGGGATAGATTAATAACAAAGGCGCACCCCTGTTCTCTGAAAGCTGACTACAGTTTAAGATCTCATTTACCAGCACAAGGGTCATTAGCTCCATGTGGTAATTTAAATTTAATTTGTATTAATTAACAAGGAAAAGTAAATGGAATATAGAACAGTTTTGAAAAACTAGTCACGCCGGTAGCTGAATACTGTGCCATACATGGCTAGTAGCTTCCTGTCTGGACAGTACAGGCTTCTTTAATGAATGTCTATATGACATCATTGGTGCCTATGAAGTGACAGGGAGGGAAAAGAAAGAAGTTTAACTCTACAATTGTCTAGAGCTGTTTTGCATGTCCAAACAAGAAATACAGATTGCTGTAAGAATGGATAACTCCTGGTTTTAAGTGTGGGCAAACATGCCTGCAGACACAAATGTTAACACTATGGTTAGAGGATCATACAGACTTATTGGACAGAAAGCAGGATACCAAAGGGAAGAGTGGCTCAGACCACCTGACATAGGTGTCTCGAGGACCCTTTGGACCTGCAGAAGGCCTATGACTCAGGACAAAACAGGGACTTGGTGAGTGTCTGATGAATGTGTTAAATAAATCTTCTTGTTTTGATTGCTAAGCTATGAAGGATAGGAACAAAAGAACAGTGCTCATTATTAAAATACCTGAAGTTTTGTTAAGTGAATATTTGGGATATTTTGCTCTTTATATTCATATCTTATAATGTTAAAAAGTCAAACTAAGTCAAACTTAGGGACTAGGTAGTCAGATTCTTCTTCTTCTTCTTCTTCTTCTTCTTCTTCTTCTTCTTCTTCTTCTTCTTCTTCTTCTTCTTCTT